TCAAGCCAGGTACCTGCTGCCGCCGCTAGTCCCACATGAGAAACATTGGTATCACATGTTGGAAAGAGGACTTATCATGAGTTTGCACCGCTCAATTTGCCAGCTTGTATTCCTTCATGCAACTTATATTATATGAATACCCCAAACCTCACACTTGTATCCCCAGATATACTAGCCTCATATCTCAAGCCAGGTCCTTGCTACCACCGCCCAGTTTGCCATCCCCAGGTCTTAACGTTTTCTAAGTTATTTATTTGTTTATAAGTTATAAGTATTTTTATGTTTATATATCAAAAGTGGATGTTTTTTGCTATCCAGTACTGTATAAATATATTTTATTATATTATTATATAGTAATACAAAACTATTTTTATTTTAGTATCTAGTAATTAGATTTTTATAATTTTAGACTTGTTAGAATCTTCTTAATGAAAGGATTATTTTGGTAGTTAAATTATTCAAATTGGCCTAGTAAATCAAAAGTTATTATTAATTAAAATTTTATGATTAATTTTTAATAAATTTATAATTTGGCTTAAAAATATTTTTTAATTTTGGCCAAAACTTGATAATTCTGGCCAGAATTATACCTGATACACTAGCTAACTCACTTATCTATCTCAAAATCAGCTGATTTCTGGAAGCTCTCTTATTAGTTTATAAAGCTTCTTCCAATTACTTTTCTATAATTCTTGATCAAAATAGTGAGATATTGAATTGTCTTTGAAAGTATTCTTTGATTTTGGCAAACACTTCTCTTAGGTTTTTTATAAGTTTTCTCTGGATATCTTTTTCTACTAATATTTTGTCAATTTGAATTTTTCCAAAAAACTTTTTCTAAAGGCTTGTTATTATTTTGTCATATTTTTTATTAATTATTTAATATTTTTTTTTAATATTCTCTTCTATTTCTTTTTTTCTTTGCTGCTTAATTTTGGTTGCTCTTCTTGCAAAAAGAATTTTTTATTGGCTTTTAAGATCATTAATTAGCTTATATAATTAGCTAGTTATCATCTTATTAATATATATTTTATATTGCTAATTTATAAATTCTATTTCTGTGATCAGATCTAGAATATTGTTGTGAATAAGGCCTAATTTAATATTCTTTCTTTCAATATTTATTTATCTTCTCAACTGTATTAGGGAATATGATAACTTGAACTCTTTTGAGCTCTTTTTTTTTATTTTGTATTGTATTATACATCTTTCTTTTAGATATGTTGTATCTTTCTACTACCAGTATTGTTTTGTTTATATCATTTTATAGCAAGTTTAACTCTAGTATTTTTTTTCTTTGTTGCTAAGTTTTTTTAAAAAGTTTTATATAACTGTATTTTTCTAGTAGACTGTCTATCTGCTTTTTATAATTTTTCTAATCTTCTTCTATTGTTTTATCACAAAAAAACACTATTTTTGTTTGTTTTTTTTTTACAAGCTGCAGCATTTTAAGTTGCAACCAGATGTTTTAGATCAATTCTAACTATTATTTTAGCATAGTCACTATTTGTATAAATATCTATTTTTTGAATTTCTGTATTAAATAAACTATAAAAAAACTTATCAGATATCTATATTTGGTCTATTCTTATATTTGTCTCTTTATTGGATTATATAAATTTTTAGTTCTTAAAAATAATATTCTAAATATAACCAGAAACTTTTGTCTTTGTAGCCAATTTAAAATAAGATCTCTTATAGTCCATTTTAGACTAGATATTTTGTTAAGCTCTAGGTTAATAATGTTATTAAAGTCTTCTATTACTATTAGTTAAGATCTAAAAAAACAATTAATATATTTTTTAAAATTGGTTAATAAACTATTTTCTTTTTCTACTTATTGTTTGGAAGAATATAGAGTATAATTATTATAATCTCTAGTTGATTAAGTACTAAGCTAACTAAGATTATAGTATATATTCATTTACTTTATTTACTTGCCCTATATATCTTTTCTATTGTTTGTTTATCAAGAGACCAACTCCTGAACTATTCTTCTTATTCTTATTTGTGTTTAACCAAAAGCTTCTATAGTTTGTTTGCTTCTTAGATAAATAGCTTTTTTTAGTATTTGAAATATTTGTTTCAGTAACTTCTAAGATATCTATTTTATTATTTATTGCCTATTTATATAAAAATTTTAATTTGTAAATATTGTTTATAATACCATTAATATTATGGGTTGCTATATTAAGTTCTGTTTTTCTGTTTAAGTATCTAATATTTTTATTGTTTGTATTATATATACTTTCTTTCACAAGACAATTGTTCATATATAACTTTTTTGCTCTTTCTATCTTCTGTATTCTTTGTATATCGAAAAATCATATCTTTATAACTACTTTCTTTTTTATTTTTCTTTTGCAGAAAGAGGTTAGTTTTTTTGCTAACTCTTTATAATTCAACTATAACCTCTTTTAGAAGTACTAGATATCTATTAGTTGTTTACTTAGATACTCTAATTGTCACAAAAATTTATAAGCATTGACTAATATTGATTAATTCTATTTGTAAGATTTTCTTTTTTTTGTATTCTCTTGTTATTTGACTTCTGTTTTTCTTTTGATATGTAAAATCATTCTTTTTCTTTTTGAGACTTCTTTTGTTTTCTTTGTCACTATCAGTTGTATTATGAATTAAGAATTCTTTTTCTAATATTGTTATGTTGTAACTATAATCTTTTCTTTGGATAAAATTCAACTTCTCATTACTAGACTCTCTTTTCTATCTTCTGCCAGAGTCTTGTTTCTATTTTCTTTTAGATAAAAAAATATTTATATAAATTAGACATCAAATTTTCAATTTATATATAAAATAGACAATGTTTAAACTATTATAACACTGTTAAAAATAAAATAGTTTTGGTTACAAACGATTAATTTGTAAGAGGGTTTTTGTATTTAATAATTTTTTGCCAAATTATACTATTTTTAAAAAATTCATTAAAATAGGATATCTTAGACTATCCAATACTGTATAATATTATATTAAAAACTATATACTGTATATACTACTATAATATAATCCTTATTTAAATATTATAAAAAAAAATTATTTAAATATTTTAATTTTAAAAAAGTAAATCATAAACGTATTTATAGTAATTTTTTAGACAAATTTGTCTAGGATTAGCTTACAGTTTAAAAAATACAGCACGACCTATTATTTAATAATCAATTAGTTTTATAACTTGGCCGAATCAAAATTTAGAACTTTAAAAATTTTATATATAAAATTAATATATGAAATTTTTTTTAAAAAAGCAGCCAGACTGCCGGGCCTATTTAAAAACCTCATGTTATAAAAACCAAGAAATTAAATTTGTATGATTTTATATTAAATTTTTTTTTTAATATAATATTTTGTTAGCCTGCTGGTTTTTATTTGCATGTTCTATATAACAAGAACCAACTAATTTGTTTGTATAATATACAGAAAGTACTTAATACTATACTGTATATCTGATGTTCTAAATAAAAATGTTTAACATCTCTTAATTTTAATTTTATCTTTAATTTTATCGTAGCTTAAAATAAATTTATTTTATATATATAGTAAAATTATAATAAAAATACATATATGTGGTTTAAACACTACTGGTGTGTTTTAAGTACTATACTTTTTAATAATAAAGAGAGACTGTTAAATTATTACATATTATATAACGATAAGTATATTTGTATATAATATGTATATACCACATACATCATATGTATATATATTTTTTTTTGATAAAAATTTTTCCATTGTGTGATATAAGTCTTTATCACAAATTCATTGTCCACTTGGTCACTTTAATGTCACGTTTTTCACATGATATATTACTGAATATTTGATTGGTCCAACTCTATCAGATAAATTCTATAATTATATCAGAAATCCAAAAAAGTAAGTTTTGCCACTTAAACTCAGCTATCCTGTATGATTGCTGTATGTGTTACGACTTTGAACTTTTTTCTTGAAAATTTGTAGTGTAATAAATTCCTCTTATCGAATAGAAGCCAAGTCCACAACACGTATTCTTACGCCCAAAGTATTTACACTCTAACCATGGAATCGTCGAATAATAACACCACTTCACCGATTGAATCTTTTACCACGAATGTTATAACTATTGTATGTTTTCGTTTATGTTGAAGTAGCTTCTCACTTGACAGGGAGACGTCTTATAACAAATAATAAATTTTCTTTCGGTTCTTTGCAGTCAAACGTTGCGAGTATAGGCTGGTGCAAGTACTCTTATGCTTGTCCCTCCGACAAACTCCGCTCATTTATCACCTCCGCACCTCTACTATCGTCGTGGTCAGAAGCCACCAGCCTTCCAGCAATGGACGATCCTATCGTTGCTAACTACTTAAAGTTGCTCGAGGAAGGAGTTCCATGTACGTGGCAATACAGTGGTGAATCAAAAGGTAGCTTTGAAAATCTTTTTACAGACAATATGATAGTGAATAGAGAACTGTGGATTTTTTGGCTTAAGGGGCAGGAAAACGACCCCTCCTCTCAAAATAGTTTGTATCAGCTAAAAGGTGAGTTGCAAATTTTGATCATTACTAGCATTTACATTTAACTAATTCATCAATTATTATTAATTTGTAGATTTAAAACAAACTGACGGAGGAAGTTTTTCCTTGAAAGATATCGATTCGCTCACAACACAATATCCTTTATTCATAAAATCTATTAAAAATTTAATAAGCCGGTACGATACATTATCTCATATTCTTTGTGCAAGATGTTAACTTGAATGATTTTTAAATAATATTTTTGTTTTACGAAATTAAAGATCTTTAATAAGGAAAGGTGCAGTTCCTTTGGGTGAATGGCACGTCTTTCCACAAAATTCTCTGAAAGTATACGAAAGGTTAGACGATATATATCTATAAAATTCGAATATATATAAAAAAAAAAACAATTATTAAAACTATCTTTTTTTTTTATCAGTATATTATGCTGCAAATATGAGGTACATCTAACGGCCACAAATTTAATCATCCAGCCAATTGTAAAACATCAGAGTTTGCGTCTTTTAGAACCTAGTGACCTTGAGTCACCCGACTGCATACGAGCTGTCATATCACCTTCCGGTTTACGAGTCAATATACTGACAATTAAGCGCTATGAAGAAGAGGATGTATCCGCTATCTCAAAAGAGTTCAAGGCATTTTTTGATATGGATTCATCAAAGATGTCTGGAACAAATGAATCATATTTACCTCCTTTAGTGCAAATATCAATAACGCAAGATGCAGTCACCAAAGAATTTCCTTACCCTTCACAATGTATATATGTTGTTACTGAGGGTAATATAAGCTATCAACGTGGAATTTCTGATTTCGGAATGGGACCTGTATTATGGAGTAATTTGGATGGTGGTTTCTTAAATAACATGTTGCCCAAAGATCAACTCATAAATAATATCAATTGGTGGCACTACAATGATCCGTTACGTGATGTGGTAACCGTACTGAATCAAAAGGATTTCCATGATTCAAGTGTCTCGTCTCCGTCTGGCTCAGAAACGCCTGGAATAGTTAACGTAACATCTAACGCAAACTCACCAGCACATCCTTTGACCCCTGTATCAAGATCCAAAAAACGACCTTTGGGAGACACAAAGGCCTACCCATCTCCACCGGATGTAGTCCAACCAATGCCTGCTGAAGGGTTGATTCCACAGCTGCAAAATGAAGATTTATCTCTGAGTGACAATATGATGGCTATTATGGATACGGATTTCGACTACGATCCATACTTCACAGCAGTAACGGATGAAGATTTTGAAACTTTTAATGGCGAGGTCTGTATATATATGTTTTCCTTAGAAAAAAAGCAAAAAAAAACATTACTACGTGTAAAGGTCACTTCCTAATGCATTATGAATTTTCTAACTATATGAAGCCCCCTTCTCATACAACTGCGACTACGAATTATCTAACACCAGCACCAGATTCTACGACAGTTGTCAAAGAACCGATATCTATTTCGCCATCGTCTCCACCAAAGAAAGAAAACAATAGCAATTTTGCTGATGATCTTAAGTGTTCTCCAGATAAAAAGACAAACCCACTGGTCCCTAGTGAATATGCTCCATTGGAATTTGTCAAAGGCGTGGATGATTCTAAATATCTTCCTGGTGGAAGATTCTTTATACATACTAATCGGAAAAAGCGGAAACGCTATATATACGGTCCTGAATACACTCCATTGCCAAAATCCGAGCCTAAAAGGCAAAAGACTTTGTGTAAAGTTCCTACAAATACAATAAATGAAGAGGATAATGAATGTTCTGGCTCTGGAAGTTCTACAGAAAGCGGTGACTCTAGTTATGGTAGTGACTCTGATTGTGATAATGACTCTAATAGTGATAGTGACTCAGATTATGATGGAAGCACCAAACAAATTAGCGCACCCATAATGAATTCTCGAAAATTGGAATTTATAAATGCGGGACGTTTATCAATGATGGTTGATTTTTATGGTCCTTCTGGTTGCCGAATGCTTCGTACGGTAAATGAATCTGAATCGAGAGGTGACATAACAAATCTTGCTCTTACATATCTTTGTGAGCAAGTTGTGTTTGGTTCCTACCCTTTTGGAGTTGGTATTCATGGAGAAGGGGAAAGTACGCACGAGCTACTAGAATCTCACAGGTGTCTTGTCGGAAATTTAAGTAGAGGTAAAAAAAGAAATAAATTAACAGAAAAAAAATTCTTTATTTGACAATCACATCGTCAACATCTTGTTTAATCGACGGTTAGTTCACTGGCTGGATTTGTTCACCGACAATTGCTTCATCAACAAAAATTAATAATAAGAACCGATGTCCCATTAAAGTTGATGCATAATTTAGTGACCCTTCAAAAGTTAAGGTCAGGGTGAGTTATAGTATAGTTCTTTTCATGCTAGAATATGGTATGTAATAGGAAAAATTGCCTATGAAGTGGTTTCCGGTGAACTGATCTTTGTCATTGAGATGAACTGTCGATGAAATGGACATTCGGTGAACCATCTGTTGGTGGAATTATTCGGGCTTTTTTAACATAAATTCATACTTGATATATGTGTGTGATATTTAGAGTTACCTACTGCGTCTGCGCTTCCGTTCGAGGTAGATAAAGTCATTACTGAAATTAAAAAAGCAATAATTGATATGTCCAATAGCATGCGAAAACCGGATGGTTTGCAGTTATCTGTTAAAGGACCATTAACAGTTCGAGAATATCATAATTTTGATGGTAACGCTTCACACTTATTATTATCGGTTGTTAAGATTTAAACTTAAGTTCTCACATATGTTGCAACCTTTAGAATGTCACGAATCCGACTCAAAAATGCAAAATAATGAAGATTTAGAATCGAATTTTCGAGAATTCTCTACCCCTGACGTTATTACTAGCTCAAATGACTATTTAATCGAGACTTCTCCTGAAATTTTGAAGTTTTGGGATACTCATAAGCTTACTCCCTATGATGGAGCTAAGAATGTCAAGTATCTTGTGATGTTTCCTGAATCAGAGAATCTTCGCTATTACATTGAATATTTTTTTGATGAATTACGAGTCCAATACGAAGTATGTATTATTTGTGGTGTATATTAAATTTTAGGATTTAGGATTTAATGTTTAGTTATATATTTATCTCTTTTTCGCCATCTAGCACCTTTGTGCATTAGGTTCCCATGAATCTGCTTCCGTGGCGATGAATAAAAAAATTAACAATGGTCTTATACCGATTTCTTTAGAGCGTAAGTTAGTTTTATAATGGCTAATGGTAATCTCAAATCAAAAGTTTATCCTAATATCAATTATTTGCCCGATTTAGCACTTTTGCCAAACGAGTCAGAATTATCACAACAAATCCGAAGCTATGAGTTGGCTTGTGAACAATTAGGTAACTTTGACTTTTTATTCTTAAATCATTTTTGAAAAAAATTCTTAATATATTTACAATTTCAGGAAAGTCACTGGTACAATTTGCAAAGCAATATGAAGACCATAGCCTTGTGATATATTTAGTCAATCCATGGAACCATTTGTCGTCAAATTTTGATATTTTAATGAGTTTTTCAAAAATTAAAGCATGTTTTAAAGAAAGCAATAAGAAAAATTTACATCTTATATTTCCACAAATTGTGCCAATTGATCATATTATTCGATTCGGTAAAACAACCAGCTCGTCTTTTCGGCTAAAACCTGTACTTAAGGAGCTAGCATTTTCTGTTTATACCAGATCTCAGGTAAATTTGTTGAACAAATAGTTGTTTTTTCTAAGATTTTTATTGACATTTAATTTCTATAAGACATATAAAGCGCCATTCGTTTTACCCAAGCCATCCGTGGTGTCTGTAAACTTTAAATTGACTAAAGATCCACTACCTCTTGAAGAACTTGTCACATATGATACTATCCTTCAGATTTCGTATGGATATAGTTTTGATAAACGCAGAATGTTTTTTGTATGGGTGGATATGCAGGGAAAGCACTTAGGTTGTGAATCATTTTCCACGACAGTGCCATCAACAACAACCAAACAGTTGTTCAGTTCAGCTTGGGATAAAGTTCGAAAAACCATTGGAGACTATCGACAAACAATTATCACCAAGGTCGGAGTGATTACTAAAGAAGAAAAAGATCGTACGTCGTTATAATAATTTTTACTCATTTGTTTATTTACAATTTCAACTAATTTACATCCATTTTTACATCAGTATGGCTACAAATAACTGGAGGCGGTGTTACTATTGTATCGATTGATATTGAACCGGCTTTAACCATTAATCCTATTTTGGAAAATAAACATCAAAAATTAAAGGTATGTGGCATGGTTTTAAATCATCCAATACCGTTACAAGACTTTCTACCGGTGGCAACCGGGTATTTACTAGAAATGGACACTGCTGATATAGTATCCAGTGCCATTCGGGTAAAATTACTTTTATATTGTTTGTGTCATCTTTTTTTTTTCTTTTACCATCTCTAAGAGTTTTTTTTTTTTTAAAGGTTAATCTACTTCATTCATCTAAACCCGATAAGTACACACAGGTTTTATGGGATATCCTGAAACAATTTCATATCCTTACGTTTATGGAAGTGACCCAAACTCATGCATGTCTTCCGTTCCACGTTCTATCTGTTGAACGTCTTGCGCGAGCATTTGTAGGAGCTCCTACGTAAAATTGTAAACAAAATATTGATACCACACAAATTGGTATCCAAAAATCCTTTTGTATTATATATGCATATATATACCTTGTATTTCTTCTTACATACTTTTTGTATGCTTATTCCTATGTAACTTTATTACATTATTTTTTCCAGAAAGATTACCATTGCATTTGATTTATTTGTATTTTTTTACGTCCCTTTTTTATAGGATGCTACTAACACAGCTTTCAATGTATATATAATTGTTTTTTTTTTTAGATGAATTTTATTCGTATTTATCTTTAATATCGTTTTGTTATCGATATTTTATTGATATACATTTAAAAGTATATATTATTACTATTTAGTAAAGATTTGAACATTTGAATGGAGGAGGGAGACAAATCAGTTATATAATTATACCTTAAAACATTTAATTGATACTTGAGATTTATTTTGCTTCTGATGTAAAAATGTCATCTTAAAAGAAATGTTCTACATAGGATTTTTTTTTTCTTTAGTTGTAGAATTGATGACAATTTTTTTTTTTTTCGCCTAATGATTGATATAGATGTATTAGTCTTAAAAAAATTTTTTTTTTCTTAAAAAGAAATAAAAAAGTGCGATTATGTTGCTTTGCTCATAAGAGTTGTTCATTCAACCTATTTGCGAAGCTTTAGTTTATCTTTTCAAAGAATTTGTCTTGAATTAGGAAGTTAATATTCATCATATCGGTGAGAGTACATTTTAAGCCAAACTTGCTATGTTCATACAAAATGTATATGATGCCGCAAGTAAAAAAAACAGCATGTATAAATTTAAAATGTAATAATCATATCTTTACCATTATTTAAACGTTGAAATTGAACTTTTAATTTGTGTATATATCACAACTAGAATTTCATAAAATTTTATTGACTTATTTTTACACAAACTTTAATCAATTACTTCATAACAACGCTATAAACTTTTTTCTAATAGGATAGGAAATTTTACAAATTAAGAAGCGATAGTAACTTCAACTTCAACACCAGGTTCAATAGAAATCGAAGTCTGCAGATAATTTCAAAAATTAAAAGATTAATTGATAATAATTTTCAAGATTAAGAAATATTGGAAGCACACATACAATTTGTTTTACAATTTCACTAGGAGAATGCAAGTCGATCAATCTTTTATGAATTCTCATCTCGTATCTATCCCAAGTTTTACTACCCTCACCACAAGGTGATTTACGTGTAGTAATTCTCAAAACTTTAGTAGGTAAACGCACAGGTCCTTTAACTCGCAAATTCTTTTCTTTTGCACGACCAATTAAATCTGAACAAACTTTTTCCAAAGCTTTAACATTTCGTGATGTTAAAGTGATTCGAATGCGATGAACCTATTATTGTTTATTTGAATTTTAAAAATGAAGGAAAAATATATTTCTGGAGATTAAGACAAGTGAAATACTTTAGGTTGTTCATCTGCATATTCTTCTTTGCCTTTAGCGACATAACTCATGGTTTCGTATTCTCGTTTTATAACCAAAAGACAGCGGTGACTAAAGGCTGCTTCAATAACTTTTTTTTTTTTTTTTTCAATGATTTATACACATAGATGTACGAATAATTATCTCCACACATGATCATAATTATATCAGGTCATGTGAATCCTATTAATTAATACATTTTTATTACATTTTTATTGTTTTTGTTCCATCCATTCACGGATAACTTGTCTAATTTCATTTAAACCATCTTTAACACTATTATTATTTACAGAATAAATTTTTTTAAGGCGTTCGACAGCTAAGTCACTTAACTCGGAAATTGTTTTCGGATTGTTTATTGGAAGACTCAAAATACGAGCTGTGCACTAAACATATACAATAAAGTTAGAAATAATATTATAACAATTATAATATTGATAAAATAGCAATTACCAGTTTAATTCCATAGAGAGCTCTAACATGATCCTCGCATAATTCGACAACACGACAAAATTCTTTTAAAGCCAAATTAATATTATCACTTGTATCACTTGTGTACAATATTTCAGCATATTTTAAATGATAAAAATGGTTTTGTGGCTGAAGTAAAATAAGTTCTTCAAGACAAAATGCCGCTTGCTGATACCTATTTTGATAAAGAACGAATGAATGTTAAAGGAAAGAAAAAAAAATTCAAGTGAAAACGAATGACTTACGAATGAAATCTTAAATATAGGTCTGACAGTTCCAGCCAACCTTCAGTGTCGTTGTAAAAATCATCAAGATATTTCGTTAAAGCTTCCATTGCTTGTTGATCCTGTCCTTTTGCTTTAAACACGGCAACCCGACGCTTCGAAGCTGCCTGTGTAAATTATCCGTATTCATGCAAGACACAAAATTTAAACCTAGTATATTCTATCTTGCAACATTTAAAATGACTAAAAGAAAAGGCCTACGATATTTGAATCATCCTTTTCCAAAATTTCATCATAAAGTCGCAATGCTTCATCTAATTTATTTTCTGCTTCTAATTTCATTCCTTCCAATATTTTAACCCGAGGCGATCCAGGAAATCGTTTTTCAAGTTTTTCAAGACACGCCTTTTATCGATCAAAGGTGCAACATAATTTAATTAATTTAATTAATTTAAATTAATTACATTTGTAGCAACCAAAAACAAATATTTCAATAACACATGTCATTAAACTCTTTTTTTACCTTTGCTAATGTGTCATTTCCCTGATCAAGTGCAGAGATGAAAACTTGTTCATATATAGGCCAAACTATTTATTATTTAAATGTTATAAATATAGGTTTAATGATATAAAAAAATAATAAAAATCTAATTTATTTACCACATACTTTCATCACCAAGTTTTCTGGTGTACTCGCGTATCAATCTTTCACCTAGTGAAACAACTAAATCCGATTTTCGTTCCCCACTTTTACGCAATTCGTGAAGTGTCTCGATCGCTCTTAAATAATCAAACGGCGCCATAACTAATACAACTACTTACTGGGCAAACAAAATGAACCGGAAACCAATCTCTAACATTGGAAAGATACCCATTGCTTTATTTGTAGAGGATTTTCAAATTTTGTTTCGGGTACCGAGCATAGATTACAATATCGGATCAACTGGAGTGACACAAAATGTAGATTAGAAAGTTGTGCAGGGAGTATTGATAAAAACAATTGATGTCGATGTTGGCTCATCATCTATTAAAGGCATGTTATCTATCATTTATTTATCAGATGAAATTTACGAACACTTTTATCATACGCTTGAAATCTCTTTACTACGCACGTATTCTATAGAACAAATAATTTTCTTTATAAACCTTATATCATATGAATGTACTCTCCTTTGAAATGACTGAAATATTGGAACAGGATCATGATTACGAAGCTTTGCCGGCAAATTCTTCCCTGACTGCTAATCTAATCGCTGGTGCATTAGCTGGTATTGGCGAACATACAATTATGTATCCAGTGGATAGTATAAAGGTTGGTTTTAAATTTTGATATTATATTTTATAAAATATTTTTAATATATCTATTTTTTCGAAATTAATAGACTCGCATGCAAATTATAAATCCAACTCCACAAGCAGTCTACACGGGTGTTGCGAATGCGTTTTCTCGTATTTATACAACAGAAGGTGTTCGTACTTTATGGCGTGGTGTTAACTCTGTAGTATTGGGTGCGGGGCCAGCACACGCCTTGTATTTTGGAACATACGAAGTATGTAAAGACCTATTCGGAGCAAACATAGGAGAAGGACATCACCCGGTTGCTCATGGTACTATCAAATAATAATATTAATATATGATTTTCATTAGTAATATTATCACTAAATGCTAAATAACGGTATTTTTTAGGAGCTGCAGGTGCATGTGCGACAATAGCGAGTGATGCATTGATGAATCCATTTGATGGTATGGTTTTTATTAGAATATATAATTTCACATTTTATCATTTTCATAATGATATCATTTTAACGAAATTCTTCACTAATTTCTTAATAGTTATCAAACAGCGAATGCAAGTTCATGGATCTACACACAAAAATGTTTTGGCCTGCGCTCGCTCAGTATATACAAGAGAAGGCTTGATAGCCTTTTACGTATCATATCCTACGACACTAACGATGACCATTCCATTTCAAATATTTCAGTTTAGTTCATATGAATATTTTCGTAAGGTGTTGAACCCTAACGGTTCCTACGATCCAAAAACACACATGATAGCCGGTGGACTTGCTGGTGCAATCGCAGCAGCGGCAACAACACCCTTAGACGTTGCCAAAACCTTATTGCAAACAAGAGGGAATTCATCAGACCCTCGCGTACGGAACTGCAGTGGTTTACTAGAGGCATTTCGATTAATTTATGAACGGAATGGCATTCGGGGCTTTGTGAGAGGACTGAAACCTAGAGTATTATCACATATGCCTTCAACAGCTGTTTGTTGGTCAATGTACGAGTATTTCAAATGGTTTATCACCAAACAAGATGGAAAAAAATTACCCGATAAGTTACATCTCCCATCATAATAATACTAATAATAATAAAAGAACATTTTATAATTATCACTTGTTTAGAATAAAAGGAGAACGTAATATACATCTCCTTTTTTGGTTTAAAAAAAAAAAAAACAAAGAACAATTGTTTACCGTTTATAACTTGTTTTTTTATATATATTTTTATTAAACTCACGCATTGTTCATTATTGTATTCCTTCATTTAAGTGGTATAGGGATTGATAGAAATCACAAAACTGTAGTGGGTGAATTGTGAATCGTATTATTTTTACCTAATGAGAAAAAATTTGTTAAAAAAAAAGAAAAAGAAAAAATTCATAATTTTATATTGAAAATAAAAATAACGACAAGAATGTTGTATTTTTAAAATGATCATGATATATATATTTATATGCGTGTCTGTGCCGACATTAAAATATCATTGGTTGATCAATTTTTATTCCCTAACCTCAATTGATTAATTTCAGCGTCATTCCCGCAAATATTATGATTCCCGAACGAAAGGTACGTACGTACGTACGTACGTAGATAAATTACCATCACGATTTACTTTGATATTGTGCTCCGAAAATATCCGTTTTACCGAACTGATCCGCGTTAATCTATTGTCAATCAACTAATGATATAAACGGAAATCTGTGTTTAAATCTTATCTAAGATCGTAAAATTATTATGGCACAGAAATTCTAAAAACAGCCTTTTTGATGTGTCATATTATCTAATATTATCTCTGTTGTACTGATATCCAGAAATATGACCTTGCTTATAAACTTTAATTTAAAAAGGAAACGATTAAAAAATAACGGAAATGTAATTTTACAATTACGCTTCTTCTGAAAATCCCTACTTAAAAGTCTCTTAAAATCATCCTTAATTAGTATTCTGCAGATCCGAACTGAAGCCCGGATTCGAATTAGCATTCCACGATCTTTTTAGAGTCGATCAATTTCCACATGCGGTACTAATGAAATTAAAAAAATCAGATAACTTGACCCGGTCGGTTAAAATCGGCTAGCCGATTTTATAAGTAAAGTTCTTTGTTTTCGCTATCGCTCGCCTTGTAGTGAAAGCTAGCTCTATCGCCACACTCCTTTCACATGTCTCTCAGTAACTTGCAAACTAAGGGGGAGTATATTGATGCTTATTTAAAATTAATCATTTCTTCCTTAAAACCAAATATTAATAGCTAACGATTCGTAATTAACTTTGAATTGATATTGTGTTAGGAATTATGAATATAAAGAAAAAAGTTTATTTGGGTTATAAAATTTTACAGCTAAGCTGACTAAGCTAATAAAACTTCATCGGATTGGTCGGTCGAAAAACTACATTAAGGATGATTTTAAGAGAC